AAAAAAAAATAAAAAAGGTATAATTGTGAGAAATATTGTGTGAACAAAATGAAAGATTTGATAATCTCAACTACCTGTAATTTCCCAGTACTGGGTTACGGCTATAGGGGCATCCGCTGTGTAAAACATAAGCCTGAATAGTTGTTGGTTTATTCTGCTGTGGCGACCCCTGATAAATAGGGGATTACGCCAAAGGAAAGTGAATGAATGTATAAATGAACTACCTATAATTATTTTTTGAGTCCTTTGGTTTTCATAAAATGTAACAGGCACTACACTTGAAGAAATATTTTTTATGTATTAGCAAAACAGATTAGTGGAGTATTGTAGCAGGAAATTACTATTAAAATTGTCAAGTTTAACGGAATGTTACTCACAGTTTCTTTGTAACTGTTTATAAAAGGTTGTCCCAGTTCTTTAGTAAAAAATAAAAATCTCCGCCATTTCTTTGGTCATTTTTTCCTGAAGAGATCAGTGATGGATATCACAAAATCTCTCTTTGCTCTTCTTTTAAGTATTAAAACTGAGCCAGTAAGCAACTACCCAGAACACTCTAGGAACAAAAACAAGTAACCAGATATCAATGCGCTAATAAATCAAGACTTTAATAACCACACAGCAATGAGTGGCCTTGGTGGTGTTTCGCAATTACATTTTATTCAGAGAATATGAAAGTCTACCCTGCTTTCTCTATTGTGGGTCGGTTTGAGCGAAACACCTTAGATGAACTCAACAGACAGGATCTGTCAGCTTTTATTGTCTGTCTGATGAATCGCCTTTGGCTGAGCAATGGGCTTGAAATAGCCGATGTCACTTGTTTGACTGAGTCTTTTCTCAGTGTCGTGAGGCGGCTCGACCGAAGGGCTCTTCCTGAATGAGCTCATAGTCAGAAAGGAAACATTCATCACCATTTAGAGAGGGAAAAAAAACAGATGGTTTAACCTAACATACACAGGAAGAAGTGGAAAATACTGGAAATGGCTACAAAGGAAAGTTTCAGATGTGACTTATGAAGCCAATTATGTTAGCAGAGCATGCTGAAAAAAGAAAGTGCATTGCCAAAGGTAAATGAGCTTTGATAGTGTCTGTGTATTTGTTTTAAAACGAGAGCGACTGATCATGTTGTGTTTTCTCTCACAGCCGTCTCTGATAATCAAACTGATATCAAGACGTTTTTTTCTTCATCTCAGATTTTCAAGTTAATATCTTTTCAGCATTGCAACTTTATATTTTACGATTTTTTCTCTAAGCTAAATTGCAAAAATCTTATTTTGCAATTCCGAGAGTAAAAAAATTACAGGATGCATCTTCAGTCAGAATTACAATAAATAGACAGAATTGAGATGATAACCAAAAACTCACAACTGTCAGAAATGCAGAACTATTCTGAGGAAAAAATATTGCAAGATTTGAGATGAAAAATGAGAATCGTAATATATACAGTGCAGGTGGAAAGTATTCATAGCCCTTCACTTTTTCCACATTTTTTATGTTACAGCCTTATTCCAAGATGGATTAAATTTATTTATTTTCTCAAAATTCTACACACAATAACCCATAATGACAGTGCGACAAAAGATTTTTTGAAATAGTTGCAAATTAATAAAAAAAAAAAAACCCTGAAAAATCACATGTACAGAAGTATTGACAGCATTTGCTCAATACTTTATTGATGCACCTTTGGTAGCAATTAGAGCCTCAAGTCTTTTTGAATATGATGCCACAAGCTTGGCACTCCTGTCTTTGGGAATTTTTGCCCATTCCTCTTTGCAATACCTCTCAAGCTCTATCAGGTTGGATGGTAAACAACATTGTTTAGCCATTGTCAGATCTCTCCAAAAATGTTTAATAGGATTTAGGTCTGGGCTCTGGCTGGGCCACTCAAGTATGGAGACAGAAAAGACTCATAAGTAATTCACGCAAAAGACACGATGTACACATGCGTAGCCAAATTCACGTACATAAAACCAAATTCACGTGCGTAAAATATTTATTTATATTCACAAAAAAATTTCACATGCACAAAATAAAAATACATTTTCATAAAATATGTTTCACAAATGCAAAACACCATTTGCAAATGTATAGGAGTGTACAAAAAGTTTTGAATGTTTAAAACTTGCGAGTTCATCCTGAATGAGAATGTGCAAATCCACTTTCACGTACGACTCCCCCTGGATACGTGTGTGAGTATTTTTGAGACTTTCCTGCCAGAGGCAGGGCAACTCGTACCTTTCAGCCAATCAGAGGAGAGCTGTAGTCAAGGACACCCTCTCTGCGCTCTATTTGCGCAGACTGTTCCTCGCCAGCATGGCGAACGGAGAAAGCAGCAGTCGCACTTTTTTCATTTATTTATTTATTTGACCACAGCCTCACTCTTTTTATCAAATTTTTTTGCCGCAGCACCGCTCTTCTTATTTATTGTCTCGCAGCCCCATGAGTAAACTTTAGCCGGAGTGGGACTCCTTTTCAGCCCTGGAGTTTCAAGCCTTTGACCGGCCCACCTCAGTTCACGACTGACTATATTAAAATAAGATCATTTCCAATTCAGTTTCTAATGACACTATCACGTCTTTTTCAAGAAAACAGCTGCTTTAGAACTTCAAATGTTCAACAACCTTAACAGTTTTGTATGTCTTAACAATAAAAATGAAAAAAAAAAAAAAAACACTAACTCAGGTGAGGATTGAACACGGGTCGACAGCTTGGTAACCCTACATACTGACCGCTGGACCACAATGGCACTGATAAGGTGTGTCTAGCCGGAATAATACTTAATCCTCATCATTACCCTGCAGGCTAAAGATTACTCATGGGGCTGCGAGACAATAAATAAGAAGAGCGGTGCTGCGGCAAAATAATGGATAAAAAAGTGAGGCTATTGTCAAATAAATAAACGAAAAAAAGTGCGACTGCGACTGCTGCTTTCTCCGTTCGCCATGCTGACGAGGAACAGTCTGCGCAAATAGAGCGCAGAGAGGGTGTCCTTGACTACAGCTCTCCTCTGATTGGCTGAAAGGTACGAGTTGCCCTGCCTCTGGCAGGAAAGTCTCAAAAATACTCACACACGTATCCAGGGGGAGTCGTACGTGAAAGTGGATTTGCACATTCTCATTCAGGATGAACTCGCAAGTTTTAAACATTCAAAACTTTTTGTACACTCCTATACATTTGCAAATGGTGTTTTGCATTTGTGAAACGTATTTTATGAAAATGTATTTTTATTTTGTGCATGTGAAATTTTTTTGTGAATATAAATAAATATTTTACGCACGTGAATTTGGTTTTATGCACGTGTATTTGGCTACGCATGTGTACATTGTGTCTTTTGCGTGAATTACTTTTGAGTCTTTTCTGTCTCCATAATCAAGAACTATCACTGAGTTGTTGTGAAGCCACTTCATTGATATTTTGGCAGTGTGCTGTTATTGTCCTGCTGAAAGATGAACCATCGCCCCAGTCTGAGGTCAAGAGCAGTCTTTTAATTCAGGATGTCTCTGTCCATTGCTGCATTCATTTTTCCCTCTATCCTGACTAGTCTTCCTGTTCCTGCTGCTAAAAAAAATATCCCCACAGTATGATGCTACCACCATCATTAATGGAATTAGTCTGGTGATGAGCGGTGCCTGGTCTTCTCCAAACGTAACGCCTGGCATTCACTCCAAAGAGTTCAATTTTAGTCTCATCAGACCAGAGAATTTAGTTTCTTGTTGTCTAAGAGTCCTTCAGATGCCTTTTAGCAAATTCTAGGTGGGGAGTGGCTTCCGCCTGGCCACTCTACCATACAGGCCTGATTGGTGGATTGCTGCACAGATGGTTGTCCTTCTGTAAGGTTCTCCTCTCTCCACAGTAGAACGCTGGAGCTTAGACAGAGTGACCATGAGGTTGATGTTAACCTCCCTGACTAAGGCCCTTTACCCCCGATCACTCAGCTTAGATAGCCGGCCAGCTCTAGGAAGAGTCCTGGTGGCTCCAAACATCTTCCACTTACAGATGATAGAGGCCACTTTACTCATTGAAACTTTCAGAGCAGCAGATTTTTTTCTGTAACCTTCCCCAGCCTTGTGCCTCGAGACAATCCTGTCTCGGAGGTCTACAGACAGTTCCTTTGTCTTCATGATTGGTTTGTGCTTTGACAGTTATAGACAGGTGTATGCCTTTTCAAATCATGTCCAATGAACTGAATTTACCACAGGTGAACTCCAATTAAGCTGCTAAAACATCTCAGGAACGATCAGTGGAAACAGAATTTACATGAGCTCAATTTAGAGCTTCACGGCAAAGGCTGTGAACACTTATGTACATGTGATTTTTCAGATATTTAATTTTTAATAAGTTTGCAAATATTTCAAAAAATAATTTGTCACATTGTCATTATAGGGTATTGTGTGTAGAACTTTGAGAAAAAAAATGAATTTAAGCCATTTTGGAATAAGGCTGTAACATAAAAAAGTGGAAAAAGTGGAGTACTATGAATACTTTTCGGATGCACTGTAAACTACTAGTTGCTAGAAATAAATCAGTTATTAAAAGTGAGATATGCACTCATGATATAATAATTTTAGTTTTTTTTCTTCTTTAAAATTGTGAAATAAGGTGGAATTGCAAGAATAAGTTTTATTTCAGTATGTTGATGTACTTCTAACTGAAACTGAATATTGAGTAGGAGGCAGGGGCTTTCATTTTCTGCGCCATTCTCTATAGCAAACTAATGGTAAAAGGGGCGTGGTTAAGAATATTGTGGCTGAAGCAGTCAGTGTGACGTCACGTGAATCGGCTTCCAGGTCCAAGCACTCTATGAAACTGTATAAGGAGACTCAACAAATGGTAATAATAAAAGCTTACAAAGCGATGTAATACTTTTAAAAAGTATAATCACGATATATATATATATCCATGCCTAACATCAGATGGCCAGAAAGTGATAAATATTTTATAAATTGTTAAAATGTTGGTGTCTGTGATGCAGCGATGTATGATGAATGTGTTTTCTCCCTCAGGTGTCTCTGATAGTGAAACTGATCCCCAGTCCTGACTGGTTTGTGGGGGTTGATGGTCTAAACCTGTGTGAAGGAGGGAAGTGGAAACAGGAAGTGACCTTTGACTTGCACCCATTTGATGCGGGCACAGACAGCGGATTCACTTTCTCCTCTCCAAACTTCCCAACAACACCTCCGGAAAACATCACCATGGTGAGATGAGTTTTCCATCATTCAGCTGTTTGCTGCTGCTCCACAGTGACATTTGTTTATGTTGCAAATCATTTTTGTTCCAGATAAACTCTGTTCTCTTGAAATGTAATAACCCTCAAAACAAAATTTTCATCTCAGTTCTTTAAAAAGATTTGATCCTTTAGGAATAGTTCTATGCTGATTTGCTGCTTAAGAAACATATTTTAAAGCATTTAAACATAATTTATTCTACCTATTGTGGTTTGAAAACTTTATGAGTTTCTTTCATCTGTTAAACACGAAAGATGTTTTGAAGAATTCTGGTTGCTGGAACTCATTGACTTCCATTGTGGGGGAAAAAAAATATTATGGAAGAAAATGGCTGCTGGTTGCCAGCATTTGTCAAAATACTTTCATTTGTGTTCAACGGAATAAAGAAACTCAAGCAGTTTCTTAACAAGTGAAGGGGGAATAATAAAAAAATAGAGATTATATATATGAATTTAAATTTATTTTGTCTGTAATGTGGAACACATAAAGAGAAATTCTGAATAATGTTCCTGCTGCTCTCCTCTATAAAATGACAAGGAAATGGGCACCAAAAGTTCCAAAAAACTTTAGCATATGTCTTACACTGTAAAAAATGCTGGCTTCCAAACAAATACTTCATGTTTCCCAACACAAATCGATTAATTTAACTTATATTTAGGTGGACAGAACATGAAACAATTAAGTTGCCCCAAAAAGAATTGAGTCATTTCAACGAGTAATTTAAACAAGCAGCAAAGGTCATTTTTTGAGTGTATAATTGATTTTTGTCCTCCTTATTTCCTTTTTTATTACTTCAAATCACAGCTCAGTGTTTTATCATGTCTCTGCTGTTTTATGTTAATACAGATCACCTCTCAAAAGCCAAACCACCCGGCAAATTCCTTTTATTATCCTCGGCTAAATGAACTCCCACCTCTGGCAACCATATGGGTGAAACGACAGTCCCGCTTGCCTGTCCGTCAACAGAACCGGCTGTCCAATCACATCCTACCAGACGCAAGCAAACCTCACAGGTTTTCAGGTACATCTCCATGCACATTTCACACAATTATAGGCAGAGAGTGTTTTGACCTTGGTCTTCCACAAAAATTTGCTTTCGTTTGTTTATTTATTCATTTATCTATCCTAATTGAGCTTTGTTCTTTCTTTTAAACTACATGACAATGGTTTTGGGGTACTGAAAGGACAAATGTTGTGGGTAGTAGTAGTAGTAGTATCTAAATGCGATTTTGTGAAAATTATGTCTCATGAGGGTCCCACTATATATTAAGCGGCCTTAACTAATATGTATATACACTAAAATTAATAATATGTTACAATGTTTTCCCAGAGATGGGTTGCGGCTGGAAGGGCATCCGCTGCGTAAAAACATGCTGGATAAGTTGGCGGTTCATTCTGCTGTGGCGACCCCGGATTAATAAAGGGACTAAGCCGACAAAAAAATAAATGAATGAATTAATGAATGTTACAATGTACGTATTGTGTAAATACATGTTTTTACATTGTACTTATGCTTGATTAAATACCTGCATGTATTTACGGCTGTAATTATTTTTTGTAATTATAACTATGAATAATTTATACATTTATAATTACATCTTTGACCATCCCATACACCTTAACCCACCCATAAACCTACCCATACCATCAAACCTGTCCCTATACCCTACCTCAAGAGCACCAGAAGTGGACTGCAATACAGTATGAACACACTGGGCTTTATTTTAACAGTCTAAAGTCTAAAGCACAGGGCGTAAAAGCATTAAGGGCGTGTCCCAATCCACTTTCACTATTTTAAGGATAGAAAAATATGGTCACATTGATTGCATGGTCTACCAGCGTTGTGCTTATTCTCTCAATGAGCTATTGGTGTGATTTGAGCATAATGTGCATTAAACCAATCAGAGTCTCATCTCACATTCCCTTAAAGAGTCAACGCTTGTTGGTGAGAAAACAGTTAAACGGACCATCTGCAGCGCAAGGATAAAGAATGAGCCTCCTCTTTTTGGCCTCTTTACTTTCTCTTTACTTTACTTTACTTTTACTCTCCATTAGATTCGTGGATAACGGGAAACGGTGTTGTACGTACTCCACTGAAGACCTCTATTAGCCTACATATTTCATTTAGTTAAAGCACAAAGATTTATTTCAAAGCAGGAAAATTAGGGTTGCGTTGGTCTGAAAATGGCAACAAATCACACCAAACATGTCTTGCACCTTATTGCACTAAGTGTATGATAGGGCCCATAAAGTACACTGTATTTATATTTTGATGTATGTACACAGTAGTTAAGGACACTTAATATAAAGTGGGACCCACACGAGAATTGGGTTTTCAGTGTGTGTGTGAGTAGTCATGCAAAGTACACTGAAGTCTTTCTTTCTTTTCAAAGTGAAATGAACAAATACAGGGCTGCAAAAGGTTTAAAATGTTTCAGTTATTAGTTTGTTGTTGTCATGTAAACATATAAAAATCTTATTAGTGCATGCTTTACATATGATTTAATATTATTTTAGTTTTGCTTGTTTAAATTCGTTGTTTTATAAATTGCAATATATACTAGGGCAAATTTAAATGATTATACAAAATCTTTTTTACACTTAGTTTTGAGTTTGAGTAGTGGGAGCTTAGGTCATAGATGTTTTGGTTTACTGCATTATTGTGCACCATTGCACTTTTTTGGGGTTGGAGAAGTAAACTGTTTAGACTTGATGAACCCTAATGCACACCACATGAGGTGAACACTTTTTTGTAATTGCTTCCACAAAACTTTATGTGCATTGTTCCACTAACTAACATGCTGGAGTCATGTTTTAAAGAGATTTAGGGTGGGTTGCAGCAATAAGGATTGAATTAAACAAAGCTTTAATGGCTTATCAAGATTTGTTGTTTTAAAAAAACTGATTTAATTTTGATTTAACATGTTTCACCACTTACAAATTCCTACAATTCAATACAAATTAAATTAGCTTCCACAGTTAAAGGATTAGCTCACCCTAGAGTGAAAATTGTGTTATTAATTACTCACCTTTGTGTTGTTGCAATCCCGAGACCTTTGTTCATTCTCAGACCACAAATTAAAATATTTTAGTTGAAATCAGATAGCTCTCTGACCCTCCATAGACAAAAAAGTTCAGAGATGTTCAAAGTCCAAAAAATAATCCAACCGATAGTAAATGCACACCTTGACCTGATATAGAAGTTAGTAGAGGTGAGCAAAGTAGTTTTTACAGCTTTTATTTTGATGCACAGAAATGTTCTTGGAGCTTTCTATTATTACAGTTGAACCACTGAAGTCATTGTTTTTGTTTGTTTTCGGTTCTTTTTTGGACTCTACAGTCTGATCTATGGAGGGTCAAAGAGCTCTGAGATTTCATCCTAATTATCTTAATTTGTGTTCTGAAAACGTATGGTCTCAGGATTGAAACGACATGAGGGTGAGCAGTTAATAACAGAATTTTGTTTTTGGGTGAACCAATCCTAAACTAATATGACTAAACTAATTCTTAATTCCTGACTAAGATGCAAATGAATGTGTTATATAAAGGAGACACAGAATAAAAGTTAGTCTGTTACATTATTTTGATGGTCAACTTTTTTCACATTTTGTTGAGTATAAGTAACCTTACAGAAACATGTAAAATAAATCTTGGAATATTAGTAGATATATACTGCCAACCATATTCTGTTTGGGGACTATAGTGTAATGCTCTAATGAATACTAGTTGACATAGTTTTATAGTTACTTCCTAGTGGGCGCCTTGATGTCAAAATGACATCAAAAACTATATAAAAAAATGCAAATCGATTTGATGTCAAAACCTTAACGTCCATTTGCCATTCCACACATTGATGCCCTATTGACCATTAAAATAACACAAAAAATGACATAAGAAACGTTTTATTACCTTTAAGCAGAGGTGTCTAATCTAGGGCCTGTGGGCCAAAGTTGGCCCTAGGTAACCTTTGATTTGGCCCGCCATCCCATCTTTCCAAATGGTGTCATTTAATCAGATTTAATTTAAAATGTACATACTGTCACCCGACGGATAGAGCCAAAGGCAGATTCTGCTTGACTAGTGTATTCAGCAGTGAACTGCAAATGTGATCATCACATTAAGTTAAAATTTAAAAAGTCATACAGCATTAGTTAATATGATTTAAAGTAATGTTTTCTATATATTTTTAAATATTCTGAAATTAATTAAAATTACCCATGGCAACTTCAATGTAAAGTAGTTTGGTATATTTCTCTTCAGCCCACGGCTATTAATGATATTTGGTTTTTGACCCTTCATACGAAAAAGCTAGGGTATCCCTGGGTTAAAAGCCTCAATTCCAAGTTTAAATAGGATTTTTTTAATGCATTCAATGCATGCAAACTACCTTGATGTCAAATTAACATCAAACTGACATCTAACATTGGCGTTAAAAATGTCAAAAATTGATTGCAGGACAGTCCTGTAATTGATTTTTGATGCATATTTTGACACCAATGTTAGATGTCAGTTTGACATTAAGGTGGTCAATTGACATCAAATCAGTTAGCATTTTTGATGTTTCTTGATGGTTTTTTTTATATCAAGGTGCCCACTAGGAAGTAACTTTGAAACTATATGTCAACCATTAGTCATTAAAGTATCAGTAGACTGTCTGCTTATCATGCTAACACTTTTGTTTGTTCTCCAAACAAAGTCCTCATTGTAGATCAACTGTTTAGTTAGGGTTAGCAGAATATGTTTTTGAGGATCTTTTGACATGACTGCGTTAACAATATTAGAATAGAAGATGTAAGTGTAAGCCTTTGGTGTCTCCAGAATGTGTCTGTAAAGATTCAGCTCAAAATACCCATCAGATCATTTATTATAGCCTCCAGAATCTGCCCATTTTGGTGTCTGAGTACAGTGTAGCTGTTTTTGTAGCCTGTGGCTTTAAATGAAAATGAGCTGCATCTCCCTACCGACCATTCCCACGTGGAATCTGCTTCTCATCATGCCTTATGTCAGATAAATAGCACAGCGACAGAGATGAAGCTGAAATAAGGCTCATTATAGTCAAAAATAAAGGTTATTTGATGAATTTGTTGTGGAGTTTATTTAAGCCTTTTTGAAATGATTAGTCTCACACAAATGCTGTTATTATAGAAACATGGCGCCTGTCAATCAATTTGGTGGGCGAGAAAAAACACACTCCTACAACACGTTGCAGTGGGCCTCAAAATTACTGGGATTTGGGTCCTTTTTTAACATTAGAAAATTTTTGAAAGGAGTCTTGTGTTTATATCACTTCAATATGACAGTGGACACGCTATAAATAACTCAAATAACTGTTCAAACAGCTTACAAAAGTTTTCATTATAGGTGCCCTTTAAATTCTAATTTAAGCCATGCTCAAAATATGCTTTTCGTTACCAAAAGTCTTATGTCTGTTCTATAACATAACAATTCTCAAGTGGACCTGAAATGTGATACTGTATACCTATTTTTGAAGCAAGTTTGGTGCAACAGAATTATTAGATAAACCTTGATTCAATCAACCTTTTGGATCCATCAGTATCGGTGCAGCCCACCCTCAGTATTCCAGTTTCCTTTGCATGTTGCTAGTAATTAAGTCTTCAAAAATGATTAAAGATCTACTGTAAAATACAGATCTCATCAATTATCTGGGACATCTGAGCTGGCCCAATGGAGCAGCTGCCTGTTTTCTTTTTGCCAGATTGCTTTAGTATTCATCACGAATCGTGCGTGTGTTTCAGAAACGCCGCTGGACTGCGAGGTGTCGATGTGGTCGTCCTGGGGTCTGTGTTTTGGCCCGTGCGCTCGAGGCGGCCTACGCCATCGCACTCGTTACATCCTGCTGAAACCTGCCAACAGCGGTTCGCCATGTCCCGAGCTGGAGGAACAGGAGGAGTGCACACCGCACAACTGCCTGGCAGATCAGTGATGCAAACACTCGTGACGCTGTCCAAAAGGAGAGCCCAGATTAACCTCATGCCCAATGCCGAGTCACTGCGGCAGACAGCAGGAGAGCCAGAGACTGGACGTCCCAGCACCTCTCCTCACTGGAAAAAGAACGGCTTGTATTCTGTTCATAGAGACTTTGATTATGGGTGCTGTAATCGCAGTAATCTCTCTGTATTTTTGCATAATCGCACACTATTTTGCCAATATAGATTTGTGGAATTGATAACTTGCAGTCGGCCGACCACTGTTTGTACAATGACTACATGAATTAACATACGCCTTCCTCTTAGAAGTGCAACAGTTTTGTGTCTTTCTGGAATAGTTTTGAGTTGAGTTTTAAAATGATGGCAGGCTGTACAAGTCAGCTAGCTGTATTTTAGCAGATTAAGGGAAATATATGCAAATTACACACATGAAACACAAGTTTATGTTTAGATTTCACATATATAATGTATATCAAACTCAGTTATAGAGGGCCGGTGTCCTGCAGATTTTAGCTCCAACTTGCCTTATCACACCTGCATGGATGTTTCTAGAAAGCCAATGCTGCGTCCCAATTCACATACTTATTCTATACCCTAAAAGTAAGTCGTTTTTTTGTGAAGGAAAAGTAGACATTTTTGAGTGTGTAACAGAAGAGTATGCAGGCTTTGAGACATACTACTTACTAATTAACAGATTTTTTATGTTGCTTAGTTACGAGCCCTGTCAATCCTCCACACATCATCTACATTTCTGTTATATTTAATTTAATAATCTGTCATAAAATTCACGTTGTTGTTGCAGATGAAATATAAGACAGAAAACGCAATTTAAATATTTTCTAGTGTGCTAGATTTTATTAACAGTCATACAAACATCTTTACCGAAGCCTCTCTACTTGACAGTTGGTCACCATGTTGTCGTTTATTTACACTTTTCATCCGCGTTTGTAGTTTTAATCGAATTCACGTCCACGCAACGTACTGTGTGTAGCTTGATTAGCTAGGCCAGGTGTGTCTGATTGGGGTTGGAACTAAACTTTGCAGGACACCGGCCCTCCAGGCCTGAGTTTGGAAACCCCTGATGTATATGATATATATGTTGCATATATGACAAAATTTGGCAAAAATGGCTTCTTACATAAATATTTTTGTAACCATTAGAATTACAAATATATACAGTGCTCAGGCATAACTGAGTACACCCCATTTTGAAAATAAATATTGTTATCCATTTCTCTGTGAATATAGGCAATGTATTTTGGTGCATTTAAACAAAACAGATTTATTAAACAGATATATTTATTCAAATAATATTTTAGTCACCAAATATATTTAGACATTGAAAGATAATACAATTAAATGTAAACAAAATATTGCAAAAATCAATTACAACTTAAAAAATTGCAAGTAAACTTTTACATTTTTTTGTTTCTTTTGATTTTTCCTCTTAAATTTGTATTTAATATTTTTCTCTAACATATAAATTTGGGGTGACGCGGTGGCACAGTAGTTAGTGCTTTCGCCTCAAAGCAAGAAGGTCGCTGGTTTGTGCCTCGGCTGGGACAGTTGGCGTTTCTGTGTGGAGTTTGCATGTTCTCCCTGCATTCCCATGGGTTTCCTCCGGGTGCTCCGGTTTCCCCGACAGTCCAAAGACATGCAGTACAGGTGAATTGGGTAGGCTAAATTGTCCGTAGTGTACGAGTGTGAAAGAGTGTGTTTCCCAGAGATGGGTTGTGGCTGGAAGGGCATCCGCTGCGTAAAAACATATGCTGAAGAAGTTGGCGGCACATTCCACTGTGGCGACCCCAGATTAATAAAGGGACTAAGCCAACAAGAAAATGAATAAATATATATTTGGGTGTTCTAGTTTTTGGACTGTTATTGTTATTGTTACCGTTATTAAGTTGTTTTGTTAGATAAGCTCCAGTACTGATTAATCTACCGTATATGCACAAATATATTATTGTATAGCCTCCTATTAAAAATATACATTTAAAAGATAGATTTGTGAGGGGTGTACTTAGACCCTGAGCACTGTACATATAGGTTCAATATATTAGATATTATTATTATTGTATATATGTTCAAATATGGCCATATAAAATTATAGCTTATACATTTTAACATACAGTGTTCAGCATAACTGAGTACACCCCTATTGAAAATCTATATTTTTTATCCATTTCTCAATGACTATAGACAATACTTGTTGGTGCTTTTATACAAAACCATTTTATTACTCTGTTTTATCCATTATAATGAGATCAATATATGATTTAAATTCAAACCAGTTATTTCTACAAAATTAAAAAACACTAAATTTCAAGTAAATTCATTCTTTTTTTATGTTTCTCTAATTTTTTCCTGCTTATTAAAATGTTATTTCATATCTTCCCCCAACATATTTTTGGAATGTTATCTTAAATAATTTTGTTAGATTAGTTTCAGTTTTGACTAATCTAATGAATATGGACTAATGTATTATTGTAGAGCATTCTATAGAAAATCTTAATTTACAACAGAGATCTGTGACGGGTGCACTCATGTTTGCTGAGCACTGAATCTCATATATGTAATTTGCATATATTGCCGTATATCAGCTTTCTATATGGGTTAGCACCGTAAATCTCATACAGACATGTTCAAAATGCTGTATGTGTAGAGTTTGCAATATTACGTGATGATATATCAAACTTTTACCCTTCATATGTCATTCATCTAATAGGGGACCGCCTAGTTGTGTACACTACCTGTAAAGAGTCAGTAGTCATTAAGAATGTTTAATGTTACTGAAACTAGACTCTTGTGCACACCCACTTGATAAAAAAGATTGTAAAGGCAATAATATTGTGAAGTATTTGAACTTTTTCAAGTGTTTTCTAGTTGGATATATTTGCATCATTGCTCCAGTCTTCAGTGTCCTTCACATGATCCTTTAAAACCAATATAACATGATGATTTGCTGCTCGGGGAACATTAATTATCAATTTTGACAATGACTGTGCTGCCTACAATGATATATTTTTAATGAATGCCATAAAAAAATCTATTTATTTAGTGTTTTTTTTTTGTTACATTCTTTGAAAGATTAGTTTAGTTCCAGAATTAAAGTTTTGCCCCTTGACAGTCAAGAGATAAATTTCTTTATTCCTCCAGTTAAAAAGAGACTTAGGTTTTAGAAAAGCACATGCATTTTCTCTCTATATAGCGGACTTCTATGGTGCTCAGTAAGCTGTACTTCTAAATTACAGTTTAAATAATCTACATGATCCCTCCCTGTAAATAAGGGTCTCTCCTAACAAAACAAGACCGAGAGAAGGTTGAAAAGTTTATAAATTAGAATTGTTCTTGGTGTAAAGAACATAATCCTAAAAACTCTTTAAAGAACCTTTAGTGGGATGAAAAGTCCCCATGGATTATAAAGATTCTTCGTCAATAAAAAAAGGATCTTTTAAAGGGTGTAAGTATTAAAACAGATAGAACAAAAGTTCAATTGTAAATAATAATTCACTATATTATTGGTTTTACTGCATTGTATTCAGTCTTGGTGAGCATGACAGACTTATTTCATAAATAAAAATGTACAAATTCCAAACTTTTGACCAGTCATGTAAATATGTTGTATTTTACGTTTCTTCTAATAATAAACTATGAAATTCTTCCTCAAATCGTCTCAGCTTCTTGCATTTTTGCTGTACTATTCTTTAGTGTTAGTAATAAATTGTGCAAGAAATCAAATAAACTTTTGTACAACTTTTGTCCTACTGTCATTAAATCTAAATGATTTTATTTATGTATTTATTTTTTTTGCAATAATGTATTAAATATTAGAACAATACTAAATATGAGCTTTTTCATATCTAAAACATCCTGGACTCAAGACCAACTCTAGGACTTTTTCCCATCTCTCTACTTGTATTGACTTTATAAATAACACAAAGAATCACACAGCACTTTAATGAATAACCTACTTTGACAAATCTGTGGATAGAAAAAAAAAAAACATGATCTGCAATTATAATTTGATTACTGCAGCTTGTGGACGAATATTAATCAGTTTGTTAGTACAGGCGAATATTGATGCCTAATGTTTTATTTTGGCAACATTGTCTTGCTTGAATGAAAGCAAATACAAATTTATATTGTGGTAGTTACACTTATTTAATTATCTGGGAAATAATAAAGTGTTACTATTGTGTTCCCTATTTCTTAATTAAATGAGAGCCATCTTTTGAATTTCAGGGGGAAGTTTAGTCAGGGCGGCGTCTTTGTGCTTTGAAAAGTCGCCATCTTGTGGAGAAAACTGATATTACAGTGTCACAGGTTAATATTGATCACATTTAAACCAACAAATTTTCCTTATTTGTTCTTAAACGTAAAGCTGAAACACATTCAGAAAGTCAACTTTCTTCTACGTGTAGGTAGGTATATCTAAATATTTTACAAACACACACCATTTGTTTCATGCGTCAGCGTTTGAATGGGTGATCCTGAAAAGTTCCAGAAAAGAAATAATTTTAAAGATGTTTGGACATAGTGATGTGTTTATTTTTCTGTTTCAATCCAGAATAAAACATTTCTATTTGATTTGTAATGAGATAGTTGGAGTGTAAATGTCAAACGCTACTGAGTCAACAGTTTAATCAGCTGATGAAATACAGACAGTGCCATTTCTCACATAATAGACTGCTCTGTATTTTGCACCACGTTGCTTTTGACCTACTCCCGGTTGGGATTGATTTAATTTTTTTTTTAATAATGATCACTTCTTTTGCTATTTGGTTATTATTGTATTTTAAGTACAAAGGCACATGATTATATTTTAATTAATAATGATTTTGGAGTATTGGTCAAATGCATGCAGTTCTACCAGGTAATTTTTTACTAGGTAAAAATAAAAGTTTATGTGACAATCTTCAGTAGTGATTTCTGTTATTCAATGCTTTTTATTTAACATTTTAAAGAACATTTATTTTCTAATTTTAACAAATAAAGGCAGTGCTTTCAGAAAAATATTGACTCACTAAAAAGCAGTTGTTTTCTTTTATTGTCCAAGATGTTTTAGCTCATAACCAATTGTTTCGTGCCACAATGTCAGAGCTTAAGTATGATGCACACTGGTTGTTGACATATTTTGTTCATATTAGACTCACGGCCTGACATTTTGTACAGATTATATTCGGATTTTTGCAAGTATTTAATGATTTTGCTCTGAGAGAAAATGTTGGATTATTCAAGAAATATGTAACTCTTCAATATATTCAATATATTGCCTCCATGTGTTAATAATTAAATTAATAAACTGCCCTTTTTATATTCTTGCTGATATAATGATAACTTAAAACTAATCAGCCGATAAATATCAGCGGCCAATACATCAGTGCATCCCTTATTTTTATAAAACCCATTTCTGTCCGTTTTTTTCTTTTTTAAATATGAACGCAGGCTGGTTGGCTGGTTGGCTGGTTTCATCTGGTCGACCAGCCTGGTTTTAGAGGTGTTTTGGCCATTTCCAGCCTGGTCCTAGCTGGTTAGACTAGGAGATGACCAGCTAAAACCAGCTTGACCAGTCTAGCCTGGGAGCCCAGCCAAAGCCAGCTATTTCCAGCTTAAACGTGGTTGGTCATGCGGCTCATTTCTCAGCCTGACCAGCTAGGACCAGACTGGAAATGGCCCAAACCCCTTTAAAACCAGGCTGATCAACCAGCTAAAACCAGCCAACCAACCTAGGCTGGTTAAAGCAGTTATTTTTCAGCAGGAAAAAATGTGTATTTTTTATTAGAATACCTTCACACTCATTTGTTTTCACAAATTACACTATAGCTACAAAACTGTAACACTTATGAACTTGGTTGTTTATAAAAGACTGGACAGATTTTGTGAGAAACATTTTTAACAGGAAAAACCAATGGGTCTGACATTTATGGATTTCCAGACAGCTTCACTTCCATTTTGTGACACATTAAAAGAATGATTACACATATCTGGATCAATGGTAAATAATATTGATGCTACATATTAATAACAAAACAACCAAAAGTCATATTATTCTACAATATGTCTATTAAAGAAAATGTCATTATTCAATCTACATTTTTAAAAATAAATTAAAAGCAAAAAGTAAAATGCACATCTTATTTAAACACTCTTGTCTTCCAAGCTCATGTAATAATTTCCTGAAAGAAAATGTACTTCAATGTTATGGTGCAGTAGTGCAGTCACAATAATGTCCACGTTGAAAGGGAAGTAGTTGATACTTCAGCATAACTGAATTTTGAGTAGCAGGGCTTTATAGTACGGTGGCCGAGAAAGCTTTTCCAGCTGGATTTAAGAAAGCACGTGCAATTACAAAAAACGCCAGCAAATTAAGAAAAGATCTTCATCAGTTTGACAGCACACCTGCTGCAAATCGTCACAACGCAAACACATTTGAAAAAAAAAACACACTGCATTTTTTCACAATGTAAACAAATAACCAAATGCACTACATTTTCTCATAACACACACATTTTATACGAAAACGGGCTACAATTTGTCACAACACAACGGAAATGTTTAAAGGAGACTCTAAAAAGTGACAGACATAGCTAATTAGGTTATGGCTATTTAAGCTAATAAATACTAAAGACCTGGGAATCAGGATGTTCAAATAAACAAACATAAAACTCAATTAAACCATTGTTCTGTAAATTTTCAATTGAAATCAGCACAACTGGAATGGTGACAGCAGGATGACAAAAGGTTCTCCCACTCAGATTTCTCAACAGCTTCAAGCCTGTCACACAAACTGCCGGTGTTGACCAACAGAAAACTGCTTGATTTAAAACTGCTTTCTGTGTGAGGTGTGCTTTAACATCACTGCACTATTAAAGGCAGACACTGGGCTTTTAGTTCCCACTAATCGGTCACCACATGTATAAAATTGGCCCGGTTTGCTACTGTAGTAACACCTGTTGAAATATAATCTATAAGAGGTTTGAGGAAGCATTCAGAGTTGTGTAAGAAAGACTTCTTCATTTTCAATCTTACACTGAGTAGATTTTAAAATAGTACTGTGATATAAGTCATATTTTACAATGAAATCTAATTCCCTTCACCCTACTCCAGTCCTGACATATGATTTTGATCAAATATTCAGTACAAATAACTATGCACAGTACAAATATTAAATGTGGCTCCATAATAATAAACTAATATTACATGAAGTGCCATCTGGACACTAGTGAAACTTCACTCTCACTTCTCCATGATGGTTAACACATGATAATCACAGGGCTATCAGATCCAATCTACCTTATTCTCCAGCCATTGCTTATTTAAACAT